GAAACAAACCAATGCAATGAATATTCCCAATTTTGAACTTCGCCGTTTCAGACAAGTTTTCAAGAAGAAAAAGATATAAACTGCAGGTAGTGAGAAGTGTATTATTGAGCATTGTTCTAGAATCAAACGCAAACGACTGTAAGTAAGCCTATTCGTTTCAAGTTGATGGCAATGTTTGTGTTTACTAGGCAAAGATAATCTTTTATGGCTCTGTGAGTCTAAATATATCAAAAAGGTAGATATATATAAAGCCGAAAACTCTAGAAACTGTTCTCAATGTAGAAGTTGCATATTATTCACAGGGGAAAATGTGCCTATACAAACATGTAAGCTGCACAGAAACGTACATGTGCACATGCCCATAGAGATACTCACAAGGAACTGGTATTGATGATGATTAAAAGTTTAGACCTAGCCCGAACAATTCATTACGCTCTGTTCCTTATGTTTGAAAATCGCTGACTGACGTCTGTCATGAGGCCTTGCCACAGCGCGCAGGAGACGTAAGTTGAAGAATTTTCATGGAGTATTTTCGTCTTTCTTTTTTTATGGTTGTTCGCTTTTAGCCTGCGTTGGCCCTGATAGGCAAGGTCGAAGAAGCCCGCCTCAAAAATGATTTAAACTATGTCGATGTGGGCGTAAAACATTTTCAGTACCCTGTTTTTAATCGTGGGCAAAATTAAGAACAGATAGTATTCTTTTGATTCCTTTCCGACCTTACCACTCGTGCACATTGTACTTCAGATCTCAACGGCCGATACCTCCAAGAGTTTATAACATTTTAAAATCTAACAACTGTTTGACTCTGGAAGATATCACCCATTCAACTATTGTAAGCAATACAGACACCACGATGAACGTAACGGTATACACCTCGGCTACCTACTGGGATAAGAATCACTTGTAATACATCTATACTTTGGCTTATTTTATCTAATACTGCAAATCAGCCATGTCCTGAGCATGTATAACACCTTGCAATTTTCTATACTCATTCATGTTCTGAAACAACAACAAAAAACCCAACATCAGCTTGCTAGAAATTCGTTTGGCGGTTGGAAAACTTAAAGGGTGAATTGACATCATGGCCGGCTGATTTCCGTCTGCCTATCGACCTAACCACAGCACATAACAAGCATGAACGACATGAACGACATGCTTACTGTGATTCGGGAAAAGTTGTTTTGCTAAGTCTTTTAGATCTATCAGCAGCTTTTGATACTATTAACCATTGGAAGTGTCTTTTGGAATATCCGGGACTGCCCACAGCTGGTTTTGTTCTTACCTGCCAAATCGATGCCAATCTGTTCTTCAAATCATGCTCTCATGTATGGAGTCCCCCAGGGCTCAGTCGTCGGTCCAGTTTTGTTCACCATTCATACTCAACCACTTGTCAAGAAAATAGTTAAGTATGACTTAGGGAGGGGAGGGGTACACCTGAAGGATATCTCGCTTATTACTCGACCAAAATGTTACCAAATTTCACACATATTAAAAGCATAGTAAGGAGTCTTAAAATCTGCAATCAAATTTGAGAAAAAAGTTTCGTTTCCATGGCCATATTGCATTTTGTTGACATGTCTTACGTAATGAATACCGCACTTATGGCTCATGGAAATGCCTTGTTTTTTTGCATAGGTTTTAACAAACATTTGATCTAAAAATTTGTCTGTTATTTTTTTTTCCTTTTCCTGAGCTAGCATTCAAGTTTGCAAAAAAAATCCGTGACAATCCACACTCCAGACACCACCAACAAAAATCTATTCCATATATCAAAAATTCAAGAGATACGTTTTTAGTGTTACATCTTTTCTTCATTCTATGAAAGTTTCATGAAGATTGGATGAAAAATGGTGGAGTTATTTAAAAATAGTAAAGAGAAAAGTCGCGTTTTGAGAAAACGGCCGATAAAGAAAAATAAAATATTGACTTTATGAGGAAATGGTGGTGACGAACGTGCCCGATATGAGAAAAAATACAGGGGGGGGTTTTGGTTTTTTTTCCTTATGCGATGAAATAGTTGTAGGAGAGGCTGAGGACGCTAAAAATGCCTACAACTCAAATTCCATAATTTTGAGCCGAATCAGGACTTTGGGGGTGTACCCCCCCCCCCCTTAAAGTATCATTTGTATGCTGATGATACTCACATTTACAGTTCAACAATGTTTACCATCTTAGATGAGCTTGTCCATCGTGCTGAAAATTGTATTGCCTTAGTGAAAAACGGGATGAACAAAAACGAATTGATGTTGAATAATGATAAATAAAACAGAAGTCATTCTGGCAGGGAGTGCAAAGTCTGTTAATGAGGTTGACCACGATCACATGACAATGTGTGATGTGGAAATTGCATTTTCTAGAAACACTAAGAATCCTGGCATCTGTTTTGCTTCCAGTTTGTCAATGTCGGCTGAGGTAAACCACCTGATCAGCTTCATGTATTTAGAAATAAGAAATATTAGTAGAATACTATATGTATGTATGTATGTATGTATGTATGTATGTATGTATGTATGTATGTATGTATGTATGTATGTATGTATGTATGTATGTATGTATGTAT